TCAATATCCTTGTTACTCTACACCTAAGTTTATGTTGGTTCGTTATTACGTTACCCTGTGATGTACCCCTGTTAACCTACGTTTGAAAGTATGTTGATTCACTTTATGTTGCAAACATTTTAGTGGTTTAAGTCTACATAAGTATGATGTATCGATGTTACGTAATTATGCAACTCTACGTGTGGGAAAAATTTCAATAAATTCGATGTTTCCATGTGAGTGGTCTTATGGGATTCTAGAGGATCAGTGTTTAGTATCTTCAACTTGCGTTTGGGAGTGTATCGATTCATGTAGTCTTGTGTAATGTATTTTTGAATATATTTGTACGTGTAGATATGTGTTTGGATCACTGTTTTTAACAGATACGTCTACGAGTGAAAATATCTTATTTCACTGCTCTGTGTTTCTATAATGAAATTAACTGTTAAATGACACGAGTTTTTCAAGATTTGTTAGTAAGAGATTTGAAAGATCTTTTTATCTGTTTGAGAATTTTTCGTTTATTTTCGAAGGCCTTTTTAATATTGATTTAATTAGCAATAAAAAAATTCGATAACAGCAATGCGGTATACACTTAAGAACCTTTTTTTGTGGATGTTTGTATTACTAACTATAATCTGTAATAAAAGTTTAGATTTCATCCAGTGATTGCTAGAAGATTCTCAACATTACATTCCTTTTGTAATAAGTATTAAAACACTGAAAAATTTGGACTAAAGTAACTTAAAGTGTTTTTTTTAAATATTATTATAATAGTAAGTTTGAATTACAGTAGAACTGTTGAATTAAAATTTAAAAGCCAGTTTGATAAACGTAGGTTAATTAACATCCAAAATTCACATTTCACCGACTATATTTCGATGTTAAAACTATGTTCCAATGGTCACGGTTTGGTATGGTAAAGACCAAGAGATGGCATTAGCCGTCAGAAAATACTCGTCAGCCAATGAACTTGAGCTTTTAGCAGTGGCAGAAGCGCGCATGCGTAGTGCCTCGTAATCAAATATCTGGACTCTTCATAGACTTACTGTAGTATAGTTTGCATCGTACTCATCGTAGGCTTAAATCTCAACTCGTTGTTCATTATTATTGTTGTGTGACCATCGTGCTACAGTATAACGTTTTACTTCCGAAAAAATCCGACTTTTGGCGCTTTATTTATATTAGTTATAAAACACAAATTAGTAAAAAATCGAGATTCGTGTAATTTTTTCCCTTTAATATGGAATTTTTGACTAAAGATAATAATTAATAGTTGTCAGAATGAACATATATCTTCCGGAGAATTTTGTGTCCTAAAATACAGCGAAGATACTTAATGCTTTCCAGTTGTCTTCGGTTTTATTACTTTGTGCTTCTGATACCATCATGATGTGTGATGGACTGATGGTATATGAACATTTAAAGATCTTCAGCCAATATCAGACTGTGGAGGAGACGTGATTGGTTAGGATGACGTCTGTGGTAAAAGTGAAAATTAAAAGAAATCAGTTATTTTCCTAAAAACAATTCTTGTTTTACTAAACAAGGACAACGACAACAAAATACGAATTTGAAATCTGTGTTAATATTTTCTTATAATATTCCTTGCATCACATTGAGTTTAATAAGACTGGTTCTCTTTTAGTTTCTATCAACATGCATACCGTGTTGTAGTGTAATGGTGTGATATTCAGTAGACCTTAGCGGAATTTATATTTAAAGAAACAACAATAAAAACTAAAAAATGTCTTGCACTGCTTGCCACTTACTTCTGACATCACAAAGTCTGGCTCTTTACGAGGTAACTCTTCAGGTTAGCACCATAGGGTTCTAAGTACTGTAACTAGTGTTGTGAATGTATGGGAATGATGGTTAGAATTAATTGTCTTGAGTATCTGACTTGAATAAAAGACATTTGAGTGTTTTTCAGTATATTTCTACAATTCTACTGCTAAGTTATTGTTTTAGTAATTAGTTTATTCTCTAGCTAAAGCACTGTATGGTTGACTTCAGAAGAAAGTTCTAAAATTCCATTTAGTTCTAAATGAAGATAATCACAGTTTCAATTTGATACAAGTCAAATTATGCTTCTTGTGAGACCACTATAAAAATAATGGCATACATATATATATATATATATATATATAAGTATTTTTTTTAGCTTCACTCTATGAATTTCTGCTATTTTTTTTGAAAGAAATTTTACGGAATAAAATTGTTCTATAATTCAAGATCAACTCTTTTATGTACAGCTCTACCTCCCTTAACAACCACACAACTTGATAAAGGTAGGTTTCAGCACCATTTGGTTTCTCAATAAAATGGCAACTGATCCCGACAATTGTTTTTCGGTGTGTATTTGTGCTATACATAATATATCGGTTTCATCATGTTCATGAATGCATTTTATGAATAGATGTGATAACTGTTACAACATTTTAGGTAACTATACTTTGTTTTCTAAAGTCATTGTTAAGTTAGGCTTTACGTTGTTTTATATTTATAGTTATGTTTCTGGCTTGTGTATATGTACATGTTTTAACAACATAACCATTCTCATGATTAACCAAACCCTGACCAATTTAATAAGAGTAACATACAATCAGTTAATATGCCAAGAATAATTACCAGTATCATATAAAAAATACAACAGTGGTTGCTTCAGTGTATGGAGACTGTGTATACAATGATGCATTTTGAGCTGTGGTCATATGTTGTGTGGATATTATAAACGTGCAGAAACATTCACATGAATGTACTGGCGTTTTATTGTAGTTCCGTAACTAAAGGGTGCTTTTATTATTATATATATAGACATTATTGTATGTTATGTCCTGACGCAACAAGTTAATTAGGCCAATGGATAGATATCAAGGTTTGAACTTCCTGACAGAAATAATGTTGATTTAGCAAAAACAACAAGTGTTGGAATTATCCGCGCTCTGCAAAGGTTTATCAAACTTTCCAAGGCTTCATTCTCTAGTTGCCAAGTTTAAGTTTTATAAACGGCGTTTAGCATTTTAAAGTACGCGTAGAGACTGCTAAATCATTTATAGTTAACGTATCAAATAGCCTTTTCAAGTCGTTGCGATATATACTGAATGATTTTTTTAATTAGCACATAACTTTGCGTGAATTTATCACGTAAAGATAACTAAGAATGTATGGATGAGTAAGAATAATATATCGAAACGAAAGTCAGGTAACAGAAAAGTATTTTTATTTCGGTTATAAAATCAGAATTATTTAGTGGCTTGATTGTGTTATTAGTGACACAGTACATGTAGAAAATATTGTGAAGTAGCTTTATGTTTACCGGCAATTGCACGGTTACGTAACAACAAAACAAAACGGTTAATGCAATTATCAAGTTGACCAGATAGGACAGGTAAGAACAAGTTGAAATAATGTATTACGTATTACGTCTGTATTGAATGTTAAATGTATTTTATCGAACGTTATTTGATGTCGTCAAATATTACGTTTGGCAAGGCTTTGTTCGTAGATGAATTACCACCTTGCATAATTAATTAAGGCCGACTTTCTGGAGAGTGGTAATCGGTAGAAACTTTGAGTTAAATAATTTCAACAAAGTTTCTCAAAATAATTGCACTATAGATAAGTAAGTTCAACGATCTCAATGACCGTGAATACGAAAAAAGATCTTATATATATGAATTATTAGCTTTTATAACTAATAGTAGAAAACATTACCATGTCCTATACCAACCTTGATTTATAGCCATTAGTAGAAAATATTACCATGTCCTATACCAACCTTGATTTATAGCCATTAGTAGAAAATATTACCATGTCCTATACCAACCTTGATTTATAGCCATTAGTAGAAAACATTACCATGTTCTATACCAACCTTTTTTAAAACATGGTAATGTTTTCTAGTTATGGCTATAAATCAAGGTTCATTTAGGGCATAGTAATGTTTTAACTAATGGTTATAAAACAAGGTTCGTTTGAGACATGGTAATGTTTTCTACTAATGGCTATAAATCAAGGTTGGTATAGGACATGGTAATATTTTCTACTAATGGCTATAAATCAAGGTTGGTATAGAACATGGTAATGTTTTCTACTAATGGCTATAAATCAAGGTTGGTATAGGACATGGTAATGTTTTCTACTAATGGCTATAAATCGCAATCTTGTTAAGAAGTCTGTAGTAAGTAGTAGTGATAGTTAAAGCGCTAATGATGAGCCACGTAATCAGAATCTACTTTGAATTCAAACGCTGTATTTCTTCTACACCATAAACATAATAAACAAACCACCGAGATAATAGTTTTGTCTCGGTGCTTACAAACATTACTGAACACTACAAATATTGAACAGGACATGCAACTTGTGACAAGTATAACACAACTGCTAAGTGTAACATTTCTAAAAATATTGTCCTTTTTGTCTTTCTTTGATTTCTCTTGGTGGAGTGTTTCTCAAAAAATAGCTAATGATTTTCTTCACACTGACACTATTGGTATGTAAATATGAATATGCGTAACATTAATTTATTTTATATTTTCTTAGTAAGTTGATGTCATGGTAACACTTGAGACCATATCATGTGGTTCCCATAGTTTAAGTGGTTAAAAAGCATGTTTCTTTTATGACATTGAGTATCGTATGTTGAATCCGGCTTGATAATTAGTCTGGCTGACAGGGTGAAAAAAATTGGACTTATGATACAATCATGACTGTTAAGTTAGGGTCTATCAAATTCAGATATCATATTCAGTACTCCAAACGTAGCAAAATTCTCAATTTTATATTTAAGAATCACTATCATTCAGATGAATTGTCTTACTTTGTGTTCGCTTATAGAGAATGTCACGTACGTCAGCTAATACTGTACCCTCTCTGACACAACTGCCTTGCGTTAGTTTTGGCCAGTCTTTAGTACTAAGAGTTCCTCAGTGAATTCACTGAAAAACAATTTTCAAAGGTAAGTTTCACTTTTGTTGAGAAAGAAACGTCTTATACCGCTTTTTTTTCCCTCCAATCAGGACAAGGATATTCTGCAAGCCTGGCTTACCAGCCTTCACTTTGAAGATTACTTTCAGTTGTTTGTCCGAGCTGGTTACGACATGCCTACAATTTCCCGTATGACTCCTGAGGTAACATAGCCATAAGTAATTAGTATCTAACTTTTTTATTTTTAATCTTGGTGCTAAACTAATATCTAAACAACGCAAAATGTCCGTTTTATTGATACTAGGGATAATAAGCTCTGTAATTAGTTAAATTTTAATTGTCTTAATCATGCCATTTTTGATAACTTACACATTAAAACCATAGTCGTTACAGACCTGCATTTCTTGAATATTAATTTTCTATGTAATTAAAATCAAGCCCACAACTTTAATAGCATAGCCAGATTCAGTGATAAAAACTTGTATACAGAACATTTGTTGTAAGGTACATGTGGATTTTATTAATTATGTATTCAACCCAAAATTACTGCTCATATTCACACATATAGAATGGTAGCGATTCGTGTTTTACTCTGTATAGAAGGATAATTCGTCAGTTACCTTACATTTGTTTTCGTCCTTACGTTCAGTGGTTATTTTTCTGTCCTTTGCAGTTTTAAATTACGTTTTCTCCTTCTCGTAGGCTTCCACAAATAGTTCTTCATCCTTTCTTTCACGGGTATTCAGCCAGGGTAATCCCACTACGTGTAGGGTGATCCCAATGTTAGTTACCTTCACACTTAAACTCTTTTGTGTGATTACATTTCAAGTGAGAATCAAAACTAGTTGGACCTTTATCAGTCTGTGTGTAAATCGTATATTCTGTTCGCATATGCCCATACACTAATCATGGAAACTGGTGAAAATGAAAAAGGAATAGTATCCTGTTTTGGGACAACTAACTTTTGGACCACCCTGATTATAATTACAAGTGTTAAATATTTGGCTTATCCGTCAAATTACTCACTTGTTTTTATACCTTTCACATTGGTAGGTCGACATATTGCATTATATTGAGTATTTTTTGTGTTTACTTCTTATATTACTCAGTGTAAGAACTGGGAAAACGGGGTAAAATCACTCATTTTATATGTAAAATACATGGGATACCCTATCAGTAATTAGTGGGATAAACTGCAACATTGATGTTATTGTTGTCCGTGTGAATGGTGTATGTTGTAAGCAACAATGTCATGAACACAAAAGCAACTTGATTCATGTTTAGTTGCTCATGCTTTTGTTAATCTGAATCAAACCCTTTTGTCGAATTTATCATGTGTTTAATGCGTTTTACTCGTATCATTTGTGCTTGAACACGCGCAAATACAATGACGATTACTTATAACCTGATCAGGATTTATTTTTTTGTATTCCTTACAGGGGTGATATGGTTTTATTCAGCATGTGTTTATGACATTGATGTTATGCACTTATTTTCCCGTTTATGTAGCATACTGAGTTAAGATGCTTTTGAATTCCGAAAGTGTTACGCGATTAAGGAAGGTACTCTGGACAACGTCAAGTTAATACTGCATGTATGGTTTTCATCTGATATGACAGACTATAGATCGTGTAATGTAGTCAAGGTCATCATGTTTATCTTTCCTAATAAATGCGCTTATCCTTTTTGTATTTCGCATTAGATAGATTATCATGGTAAAGCATGGCTTATATTTTTCAGCCAGTATTCTCTTTTTATTATGTTCAGTTTGACATGGCTTGGCCTAGTGGTTAACATCCCCAGACAGATGATCCTGGACCGTTGCCACAAAGACACGTTCCACATTTTATATCTGTAATCCAAAAGATAGATGACAGTGGGTGCCCCTTTTATTTTATCAGTTGAAAATTAGGGATGGCTATGTAGCTTTTAAAGAAATTTTGAAACAAAGCTGTTAATTTTTCCTCCGATTCTTCCTCGATGTATTTATTACTCGTTATTTGAAATATGTAATTTCTATGTTTTTCTGTATAATGTTTAATTTTTCTGCATCTTTAAGTTATTTTGTAGAAATTTTAGTAAAAAGACACATCAGTTATAATTCAGATTCCGGTTGCCAGTCATGTTAATTAAGTACACGGGTTTAATAAAGCAAACAAACATAATTCTTTGGGTAGGCCAACTTTCTGTATATCTTGGAAATGTTAATTTCTACACCAATATTTTTTCAATTTACATCACATCTTTTACAGTGTAGCATGTGTTGTGTGAGGCCGAATTCAGAATATAAAAAAAAGTAAAACAAGATGCGCTTGAGCTGGACAACAGTACATAATGTTATAGAACACCCTAAGTGGGGATTGTTGCAAAGACTCATTCTTCCCATAGGTGACAGAAAATTTCTATTATCAATAATTCCCACCCTGGTCTACTCTTAAGTTACACCTTACCTCATAAATACTTCATTCCAGTTTTTTAGAATCACATTTACACTAATCACTGATCAATGCAGGCTGATCCAAAAGTTATGCATCACCATGATATTTCTTAAGTCTCGATCTTATAGTATTTTTCCAAGTCATGTTTGCATTTCCTAACTTACTCCTTTCTTTTGTTACAATAATGAAAGTTTTATGAAATTACCTGTAGAATTTGCAAGTTATCGGTATTTAACGGTTTTGTTGCGTTTCTAGCCGTCCAAAAGACTTGAGTAAGAATAAGACACGTAACAGGATGAGAAATAAGATCCAGTCTAACAACTACCTAAAGAGTTTTAAACATTCATTTATTTTAATACTTTATGTAAGCGTACTAACTTAATATGTTCAGCTGCTTTAAAGCTTTTAGTCCTCTGCTGGTGAGAGAGTTTCTGTGGGTCGAACAAGAAACGTATTGTTAAATTGTAACAACAAAGAAATCAAAAATATAACTTTCAAACAAATGGAATACACGTCTTATTACTTACAACGAAAACATTTAGTAAATCCGTGTCCAGGCAGAACTTATTACAAATCTTAATAAACAATACAACATGTCATCAATAACCAAAAGAATAAAAATATCTAAATCCGAAACACAATATTCCAAAATTAAACCACTTCAAGATCAATAACAATATCGAGCAATAATTCGTTCGAACTAACTCGTTTAAGGTCATCGAAGGATTTTTATTTAGTGGTTATACCACCAGGTTACATATCATGTGACTAATTCTTTCACAACATTAATATTTGTAATTTGTACGTCATCACTAAGGGAAGCTTGTGTCAGTTTCATAATACAAATACTAAATTCAACGTGCTATAGCTAGAAGGTTAGTTAACGCTTTAATGTAACTAAGAATTCATACCTGAACTAAATGATACGGTAAACATAACTATAACAAGATAAAAGTATAATTCACCATCTCACAGCTTGTTGTTCATTATTTAATAGGCTTCTTCAGATACTTTATGTGTACTGATTGTGTAAACCCGCTTGATTCAAAGAAAACGATGTTTGTTTTTTTTTGCTACATTTATCATTCGTTCAACTTATGGTAAACGTTGGCGTTGTTTTGTACCCGTCGATGAACAAAGATTTGCCCTTTGCGTGTTAAATCTCGTCATTGGCACTTTTAGATCTTTTTAATACACTGTATTAGAGTTGATAACGTGTAGGCGTTAGTAATTGAAAAGGCTTAACGCATTAGTTAAAGTTTTCTTTTATATTTTCAAGTCTTGATGAACATTGCCATATTCATAAAATTCTCCTCTATTATCAGTTTTTTTTTATTTTCTGCATTATTCAGTAAAAATGGAGATTTGTGAGATTCATTATCAAACTTCATCTGCAAAAAAATTGCTTCACAAAATTTTTGATTTGCATCTAAATCTTATCATTATTATTATCATATAAAATAATATGTATTTATAATAGGTGACTAGTTTCTCTCATATATTTGAGTCACTAATTCCTCAAAGATCATTAGTTCAATAATTTTTAAATTGTAGATGCATATTGTTACATAGAAAATGGAGAACAAAACTGATATTCAAAAATCAGTTAAAAGCAACTTGAAAGTGAATATTTTTTTTACAAAATTACCTAAATTAAAATTAGACATAGAGAGATTTCTAAAACGTGCAAATATTGGTTGTTTAGTGTGTATTTAAACCTCACAGGAACACATATATAGGAAAATGTTGACCTTTAAGAAAAGAAGCTATCATTATATATTTTTTGCATTTTGTAAATAATACTTTTGGGTTTTAGTCCATAATCAAAATAGCCTAATTAGAATAATGACATTACTGAAAAAAAGCTGTTATCACGAGGAACACGTTTAAGTCATTCTACAAAAGTTGTTACATTATTTTTGTGACATGAGCATGTAAGGAACTGTAAACCTAGTATGTGATTTTGACTGTTTTATGAGAAAATAGAAAACAATTGTTTTTAGAATCGGACACATTCTTCCAAAAGAAAAAAACAACTGTAAGAACTTCATTAGTTACTGTCACCAAATTATGTTACATCCTTTGAAATATGTATTGATCATCAGCACAAACAAATTGTTAGATCTTTCTTAAGTACCGTAATCGAAATTACTTTTAGATCCTTTAAAATATGTTTGTCATTAATATAAAAATATTTTCAATAGACAAAAAGTCATATAGCCTGTTTAGTAGTAGGTTCACAGTTTTTTGAGAGAATACAATTAGTTATATGCACTTATACAAACAAACCTGGCAATTCTTCATTTAGCAGAATTCTTAAGATTGAATGATTTGTACATAAGATTAATGAGCAAAATAATATGACATAACTGGTTAATAAATAGATAAAAATGAGTTAAAAAAATAAGTTGTTTATCCTACATTTGCATGAAAATATAATTTGGTAAATCTTACTGAATAAATAATTTAGTACGTCAGTGATAAGGTTTACAGAGAATTAGATAATGAAAATGATGATATTGTAAGTAAGCTTAAGTTAAATATATTAAGGCAAAAGTGTTTCTATGGAGAATAACATTTCAGTTTTAATGTACAGTTAGAGACAGACTCTGAGTTAATGCTGTTATATTAAGTTTGCCAAACTGATGTACTTTTTAGAAAAATACTATAAATATTTAGTGGTTTATATTAACTCTAAAAATGGCAGAACAGTAATTTTTTTACATTGATCTGTTTAACCTTAGATGACTTAATCAGAATTTTTAATGTTTGATATTTATTATAAAAATTGAGTTCTTCTGTAATTTTACAAAAGTCATAAAATTAATATTAAAATATAATTGTGAAGCATAATAATTTAAGTTTTCCAGGCTTTGTGTTGAGAAAGGGTATGAAATCCTTTAGTTGAGTAAAGTATAATGACTTATTATTTGACATGAAACAGATTGGAATTGCTGCAAAAGTAGTTAGTGGAAAATATGAAAATTAAATAGTATAATTGTTTGCCCTAGAGAGCTTCTTCTGGTGTTTGAAACTTTTTCTCTTGCACTGTACTATGATGTAGAAGGAGAATTTCTGTAAGGTGCTATACTTTTAAGTCTTTTGTTCTAGGACTTAACTGCTATTGGCATCAAGAAACCAACTCATCGTCGTAGACTTAAGACTGAAATTGACAGGTTAAACATAACTGATGGTTTACCGGAGTACAAGCCTGTAAGTTTTAACTCTGATTTATTTATTTTTGGGTAAAAGAACATAATGCTAGTAATGTTTAATTGTTTTTTTAAAATATGCTAAATAAAAATTAAAAATGAAGTTCAATTTGTCATTTGATTCACCACTTGTCACTTAATTATAATGCTTTTTGAGAACTTAACTCCTTTTCAGTAACCCTGGACAAGGGCAAATTGAAAAACTAGACTAGGTTTCTTATAGTAGTGGGCTGTAAATCATATATATATATAGTTGGTTTTTTTACTCATTACAGTGAATGTAGGTGCTGAATTTATTATATAGCTATATTACAAAGTAGGATTAGGTAAGTGATGTAATGTGTCATCCAAAAATACTTCAACGTATTGGAAATTTTTAAACAATGTTAAAGTAAGTAAAATCTAATTTGAAGCTGTTGTTTATTGAGAAGATGCCTTTGTGAATGTTTCCTTTTCTTTTTTTAATTTTGAGCTGTAACATATAATCAGTTTTAGTAACTTGAAATGGAGAGAATTACAGTATGTACATATTTCAGTATTTCTTTTTCTGAAATTCTGAAACTAATCTTATAAATAATTTTCTAAACCTAATAGTAGTAAAAAATAAAAAGCAGGAAGTTGGGCATTTCAAAATAATTTTGAATTCCCTATCTTATAGACATTCAAATTAAGGTTGTTGAGTGTGAAATGGTGTTCTGTCATTATATAGTAATATGTACTTCACAGAAATGATACATTTTATATTCACAAGTTATACAAATAGCACATTTGAAGCTTGTTTGTGTACCAATTTTTCTGTATATTATTTATAAGTATTTAGAACGGACTGCTACTTGTCTCATCAGTTTGTTTTGCCTATTATGCTTCATGATAGTTGTAAAAGAAGTTTAAGGTCCTTACTATATTCTCTTAAACAGGATACTTTACTGGAATGGCTGCAGTTACTTAGGCTTGAGGAATACTACAAATCACTGTATCGTCAAGGTTATAACACTGTCGACAAAGTCACAGAACTAACATGGGAGGACTTGGAAGAAATTGGTATTCAAAAACTTGGTGAGTTCAAGTTTTATGCTACTTGCACAACTATAACTGGATATAATATTTAGCTGCTTAATTGTCACACAAGTTTTGGGATGCATTACTTTAGCATGAGCTTTTCTATTTTAAGTGAGTGTAATTATTATTTAATCATTTTGTCAAAATAACATATGAAGCATTTGTTTGATACTTTTTTCAATATTCTCAATACTTTGCAAATTCATCATTTAGGGTACGTATGCCTGTAGGTTTTGCATAAATATTTAGGGTATGAGTAACATTCATAGAGTGTATAACTTAAACACTCTAATTTATAGTACTTATTCCTGCAAGAACAAAATTAAATGCTATAGAAAAACTGAATATTCTTTTCAGGTCATCAGAAAAAGATTATGTTGGCCATCAAAAGAATTAAAGATATCAATAGTGGAATTCGTCGTCCTAGTCAAAAAAGAGACTTCCAACTCCATGGAATGGATGTAGGAAGTGGAAGTATTTCTAAGTTACCTCATCCTACATCTCTAGGTGAGTTATTACCATTTTCTCACTTTTCATTTTAAGGTGAGCTTAGGTAAGTCAAAGACCCCCTTAATATGAATTTATTTCTTTGTGAGGAAATCTCCATGTGTATACAAAATGACATTGAAGGAACCAGCTCTTCAAAGTTTGTAAAGAAATAAGATTGGGGGACCTGCTGGTCTGAACATTATGATCACAAGATAGTGAACTCCTTTAGGAATCAAAGGCTATTGGAAGAATATTCAGTGAAGTAATAACACACTGTACATTGAATTCATCAAAAGGAGTTATACTTAACAGTGATTTTCTTAACATCCAGAAATAAAAGATTCTTACTGAAATATCTATTCAAGATATGTCAACTATTAAGTGAATTTCCACTTGGAAGAATGTAATATCTGAGCTAATAAGGTGCTAATATTAATTTTATGCCCATGTGGTCACCTGCCGAGTTAAAAGCCATATATCTGAAAAGTACTGTTCAACCATATATCCCACACCCTTTCCAGTATTTTACTGTCAGCATTTTGAACCCTTAAAACCAACCTGTCTGGTTTCTTAGTCTGCACTAGATACAGTGGCAAGGACCTCAATAGCAACAAGTGTCAGTTGGAACTGCACTAGGTCACCCGCATTTAGCCCCACCTCTTCTTTTCTATATTTTATTCTATGTTAATTAAGGAGAAAAGGATGCAAGAATGAAAATTCTTTAGAACATCCCTTGTTCTAAGGCAAGAAAGATGGTGAGATCTATTACACAACAGAACTTTGCTTCTGTACTCCATTCCATTGCTACAGTGGGTGTGCATACAAATATCTATGTTTTGTTTTATAGTCTTTCCCAAACCATTTCAAAATTCTGGATGAATTAAACAAAATCCAACCCTGTTTTTGTTCCAAACAGTGCACAAGTTAACCTAACATGAACAAAAAAAGGTGGTCATAAGGAAAAACCATATAAAGACCTCCTTAACATTCTAAGTGAAATAGCCATATTGATGCATTGAAACTGTCTAGGTTTATGCACTGATGTACATCATATCAAGGCCTTGAATCTTATCATCGGGAGCCATTTGTGAAATTGCCACTACTTTCACTATTAGTTAGTTTTTCATAATTCAGAAAAGACATTATCCTGCTCCCCAGCTCCACCTCTTAGGACATCTTGACACTACACTAAGCTGGCTTTTATTTTGCACATAGGGCAGCTTAAATTTAGTAAAGTATACAAAGACATTGAACATCCTCCTTGTCCTGTTTTTCACCTCTTGTAGAACAGATAGATGTTCCGTGCTCAAATCTATTATGCCCTCATTTGATCTAAATGGACTACAGATCTCTGTTCTATGCCTTAACCAGGAATTCCACATTGAAGGTATTGGATTCAGAGCATTTTTAGGGTCTTTGGCTCTGTACTAAAGCAGTAACTCCTAAACCAAACTAAGCCCAAGACAAAGTGACATTTTATCTCGTCTCTTATCTTCATATAATTTAGAAAAAATAGGACTTTTATTACTTTTCAATTATTCATTTTTAATATTAGTCACTTGTTAGCTTACATTACCTTTCAAGTATCAAAAAATGAAACTCATTGTCTTACCTCATCTCTTTAGGTAACTAAAGGTAGTAACTTCTCCTTACTTCAACTCTTTGTTTACATTAATGAAAAGAATTACAAGATAGTGAGCATGTAACACTGAATAACACCAGTATCAGCATAGTTAAAGCTTGTTAACTCAATATCTCTTAATGATTTTAAACTTAAAATTATAGTGGGTATGTACAGGGTTTGGTCAAATTTTCTGTTTCAAAGTGTAACATAAGGTCTCAGTTGGATATAACTTCTCTCTCTTTGTTTTTTCTTAAAGCCAATGAAAAATATAGACATTTCACTAAATATAAATAGAAATATATAAATTCTTTGGGATATCAGAACATTTTCTCATAGTTAATTTTGTTTGTTTAAACATCTCTTGCTAAGTGCAAAGTTACACAATGGGTATCGAAACTTGGTCAAATTTACTGCTGAGCCACTGCAGAACCTTTTATTTAAACAATTCTCAGTAATTGGATAAAATTCAATAAACATTGAGAAGTTCTGATATTTTAAAATTTTCCAATGCATTTACTTCTTTGCACAGCCCAAGCTGTCAAATTTACTGCTGAGCCACTGCAGAACCTTTTATTTAAACAATTCTCAGTAATTGGATAAAATTCAATAAACATTGAGAAGTTCTGATATTTTAAAATTTTCCAATGCATTTACTTCTTTGCACAGCCCAAGCCGTCCAACCCATTCCTCACTATCATTATCCCAGCCAAGAAGTTGCCATCACAACATCTCGAGCTCAGTGTTCACCAACTGCTGAAAATGCTAGCATTCCAGAGCTGAAAACCTTCCAGCAGTCTCCTCCCAGGAATGATGATTTTTTCTCTTCTGAAGCAAGATACGAATTTTCCTTACCAAATCAGCTTGCACCACTTTCTCCACAGAATATTACAATGCAGGTAAACTAAAGTTTTCTACCAAAGGCAGCAATTTTATTCTTGAGTACTTTATAAGATAGGTCATTTTCTTCATTACATCACTTGGCTTTCACTCTGTTAAACATGCCACAACTAGTAAAGAAATCTTCCTAACCAAGTCAGTTGACTTCACTCAACTAAACACTTTTATTCAGTACACATAAAGAAATAATCCTAATCAAATCATTTTACTTTAGTACAAGTAGATAAACCTTTCTAAGTCAGCTCCTCCACTAAACACTTTTCTGTAGTACAAGTGGATAAATCTTTCTAACCAAGTCAGTTCACTTCGCTCCACTAAACATTTTACTGTAGTGCAAATGAAGAAATCTTCTTTGATAAGTCAGTTGACTGTACTTGTTAATATTATGTTACAGTAAAGATCATTCTGGTCAAGTTAGCTTATTCCATTCTTTTAAAATGTACCACAGTACACATAAATAAATTTATAACAACTAGAGTGGACATCCATGACAATGTAAATCTTTACCAAATAGCTAGCTTCAGACTATGAATGACAGTCTAGGTGAAGTATTTATATAACCAGTATATAAAAAGGCAAGTTGAATGAGTGATATTATGTATTAACATCTTAAAGTACATGTAAAATATATGGGGTTGTGTAGTGTATGAGTATTGTGAGAAGTCTAAGGTAATTAGTGTGTTTGTTTTTATTATATAATGTGTGTGGATGATGAAAAAAAGATGCTTATTTAGAGCTACTAGTTAGGTAAAAATGGACTTTTTTAAAAATCATACAAATAAATTCAAAAGTTATGAACAGTTTATTCTGTTCCTTTAACAAAACTAAAAATAAGTTGAAAAAACAAACATCAATCATTAAAAAAAAATGCTTCTCTTTAACATGTAAAGTCCAAAAATCTATTGTTGATCCCAACTGTTGTAAAATGAAAAAGAGAGTCTACTCTATATTGTGTGTGTATGTAAATTGATTTTAACTTCAAATTAATTTCAACATATTCTAAATTTGCTATTTCCTTTATGCCATAATCAACACAACTTATTTTGAAACTTTAATCTCTTAATTTCAAAACTAACTTTTGATGAAGTAAGTAACACTTCTACTACTCCTATGTATCCAGACGAGTTCTACAAATAGAGGACATTCTTTAGAAAGCTTAGATATAGATGACTCTGTTTCAACAGTTGCATATCCACACTACATCCAGTCAGATACATGGTATGACACTGTTAGTGCTTGGAGACAGCATGGTTATGATACCGATAGTGAGCTAAGTGCTCATGCTGGTGAAAGCTATAATGTATACTTCAGTGAAGGTACTCCAACTTTACACAGACCAAAAGGAATGGTGAAACCTCGTCCCATTGCCAAAATTGTTGCAAAGACTAGACAAGAGGAGATGGAATCAAATGAAAGAACACAGTACATAGAAAAAGATCTAAAAGCAGTTCTAAAAACAACTGATCGAAATGTAGATGGGTGGACAAGCTTAGAAGGGTCTCCACGACATATACTACCTAATAGAAATTCACAGTCCTATGGATTATTGAAATTGAAACGAACTCCTCCTGCTCCTCCAGTAAGAACCAAATCTATGAGATGTAATTCTCATGAAGATTTGGACTTCATGCAGGATAAGGCTTTTGCCACCTGTGTACAGAGCTTGAGGTCTCGGTTTGACCAAGCTACAAACAAACAGAATGAGCTTCTGCCCCCAGCAACCACAAATCAAGAAAGACAACCTTCTCCCACTCCTTCAGAAGACTTCCCTCCACCTCCTTCCCCTTTGCCCTGTGTCTTAGATGATTCTAGAACAGTACCTGTCACTGCTGGATCATTCAAACCACTGGTTTCACAACCTCATTCCAGCGTCAAAGAGTTTCTGAAATCAGATGAACTTAGTGCTAATCCAATGTTTCGACAAAGAAGAAAGGATTCAGCAGATTCCAACTCTTCTACTTCCAGCACTGATTCAAATTCATTTCCATTTGCCAATGACAATGCAGGAACTATCAAACAAAGAATCAGCAAACTGGACTCAAACCACTCAACTTCACAGGGTAGGTCAGCACTTGTATTTTTAACATAATGAAAGATTGGGGTTATGTAAGTGAGATTAAAGAAAGTTCCAGAAATCCTAATTATGAACAGAGTTAATTTGAGTATATTTATACTGTCAGTGTGTTTATAATGTTTTTGTTTTCTTTACAGATTAATGTAGAGGTTGTGTAGTCATTGTTAAATCAAATCTGAGCTAGAAATATAATTGTATATCATTCAGGCTCTTGATAAATTATATGTGAAAATGCTGGTATTTTTTTTTTATAATACACTAACAATATGTGAATAAAGTATTTCTTAACGTGTTGTCTATTTTCAGAAATTAGATTTAATAGTTTTTATATACTGAATCTTGTGCAACAAGATCACTTTGAAATAATATCTAACAAACACAGAAAAGATGAACTCAGTATTCTGTTCTTAACTATACAAAGCAATTTTTCAGTAACATTTTTATAAAACATGTTTAAACAAAGTATATAAATGTTGTGTGCTCCATTTTTATAATAGCAACCTACCAGAGAGTTAGTAAGCGTTATCATATTACAATAAGTCTTTTATTAGTTGTTTGAGATAGTAATTCTTTGAATGCAAAACTAAATGCTCTGCTCAGCGAGCTAAGGTTATTCTACACTTTCAAACTTGTTCTACTTGGTGATTGCAGGCAACAGTTCACTTACCCCCACCCCCCCAAACCATATAGATTACAGAAATAATTGAATTATTACACAAGTTGATATTTTCGATACAATAAGTAGCTTTTTATTGATAAATCAGTAGTTTTATAGAAAAAGCAATTGATTTTGAACCCTAATTTACTTTAACATTTAAGAGGCTGAGTTAATATTTTGCTGAAATGTGCAATTCAATTGTTATTATTTTGAAGAGCAAAAACATTTCCATTTTCTGCTTTAAAATAACATTGTTTATTTTTATACTTTTTGTCTAATTTGTTAGCATTTTTACATATAAAGATACCTGTTTTTGAAAATAAAAAATATACACTTAGTTGCTGTTTATTCTGGTCTTGGAAACTAGTCTGGAATTAGCTTTTTATTTTTTCTCATTAATTTTAGATAAAACTGAAATTATAAACCAACATTTGTGACTCTTACATATTTTTCTCAAGTACAGTTTTAACAAACTTAATAAGAAAAAGTTAAGAACAAGATTTGATTACAAGTGGAGGAATATTAAGAAGTTAAATTTTTCCTCTTGAAGATAATTTAATGCACAATTGAAATGTTGAGTATATATTATACTGGATGACTACTACAATTTAGGTGTCTTGTCTTGGAAATCTGCTTGAATATATCTGAATGTTAAAAAAACATTTATGTAACAAATTATACATACTTATCATTACTGAAATTAGCTGCTATTTAATATGCTATGTGTGTTGTTTGGTAAAAATTTTAAAATTCATAATAAATATATTTTATCTTCCAGTCAATTACGCTCCGATGAAAAAGACAAAAATAGCTTCATCTTCTAACTTGGAAGGAAGCATAAATATACAAAATACTGGATCTAATGGGTACGTGATCAATACAATTGGCCTTTTTGTTCATAAGATTATAGAAATATTCACAGATATTAATCTTGCATATTTTAATCAAACAATTTTTGTATTTATGTGATTATTCATTAGATGTTAGTGTCATTAGGTTTTTATAAAACATTTCTTGAATTTCATTAGATTTTAAAAGAGTAACAAATTTATCTGGTTTATGTAAATTTCTCATAACTTATATTTCAATATTTTGTTGAATATCATGAATTTCTGATCACAAATTAATTTTTTTTCTTAGTTTATTATCTTTCTTTTAAATTGCAGGTGTGATATGAACAGCAGGCCAGGAGATGTGATTGATGACATAGAAAGCATGCTGGCCAGCCTATCCAATCAGCTAGATGCTATGTTAGACACAGAAACAAGTGGATGAATGGAGACTTCTATTGTATACTACATAAACACAGCTTACTGTAGTAATATATCACACAAAGAAATGTGTTGTAGAGGTTTTTGACAACGTGTATATTGTTAAGTCTGCATGAAATAGGCAGTAGAAACTATACACATCAGTGTTAAAAAAAAATTATAGTTTTAGCATTTTATCTTTGTTAAACAACAGTACAGGTTTTACATAAAGTCTGTGCAACTTTCATCATCTTCAGGACTGTTTATTATTGTGAGGATTGGAAGATAAGGCTCATAACTACATGCAGTACATCATATGCTGTTCTTAAAATATCTAGCTAAGATTGCTACAGTACAGCTTAATGAAAGATACTGCTGTGTAACTGTTCTTTACAAAATAATTTGTTTTGGAATGACAGTATATAATTTCTTTTTACAAATCTAAAAATTCAAATTTTAATCTTTGAAGTCTTCTTGTTTAAAAGACTTCACTGAGATTTAGAAATAAAGTTTTCTGTAACAACCTCTACAAGTAACATAGAACTAAAAACTTCCCTAGTCAGTCTTCCATTAAAATTTCAAATTATATTACTATTTTATATACAAGATATTACTTAAAAATAGAGACTTTCCATTTCAAAATTCAAGAAATATTACAAAGTAGTTGGATGAATGTGGGCCAGAATTGTATTCTATATTATTTTACTAGTTGATATGAATGAAAACCCCTCTTGTACGGATATATCTTTTGCACCCATCATTAACACATTGCTAATCAACCTGAAAATATTCCAGAATTTATAAAACTTTGTACTTTTATTTTTAGTTTTCGACCTCCAGTGAATGATCAAACATTTTTTCAGTGGAATGCCAGGTAACAATGATCTGGAAAGTCATGATAGTGGATAAAAAAACTGGAGACTGAGCTACTCTTGAGCATTTAGAATTATTATTATTGTTTGGTACTTGTAAAAATGGAAGCAAGGCAGTATTTGTCCAAGATATATATAAATGTGTGTATGTAAATAAATTATTAGTCTGTAAAGAAAGTTGGCCTTTATCAATGGTTAATATTTATATATAAGGGCTTGGAAAGTGGCAATTTAAATGTATTAGTTTAAACCAGATCTGTTTGTTCATGTTACATGACTCCTTGGCCAGCATGGTCACTGGTTGATTATTAAAGCTGCCAAGTTATGTGTTCTTTAGATCTTTTCAGTTATTGTAAGAATCAAGTTGAATAAAAGTGACATTAATTTCTGGATTTACCTTGGAATTTTTTTAGACGACTCTTAGCTAACTATTGATGCTGTTGTTTTACAGATGCTTTATCAGAAGTAACAGAGCTTTGGCAGTATAGTACATACTGCAGTATTGTGTGACCCAGGAATAGAGAGTGGAGAGCTAAAAGGTTACTATAATCTATAGAATAAGATATTTCAGTAAAACTAGTATGTTCAAGGATGTGTCCATGAAATAGAAAATTAGAAATACATTCATTTATAACTATCATAATGCTTTAAGTTATTGTGCTAGTACAAATATAGGACCTTCATCTTTAAAGTTAAGTTATTAACCCTTAAACTACATCATTAGTCCAACAACACCAATGTAACATGATTGCAGGGGGATAAATCTCCAAAGTTATGATTAAGAATTCAGTGATTGGTCAACATTACCCAAATAACCTACCATGTTATTATATATATTGTGCTTACTACATTAATAAGCATATTTTAGAGAAATTGAAATCTAAGTGTGTATATATATATATATATATATATATATATACAATTGGTAGGATAAAAACTTTTTTTGTAAAACTGTGCAGAGAATCATTAAACAAATCCCAACTGTATTTATAGATGACATCTGACAATCGACCCCAATACCTTACTAACAACACAAGTCAAATTAATAGAAAAGTCCCAGCACTTTTAATAAAAATAAAGATCACACCTGCTTGAGTGTTAAATAATCCAGTCTGTCATCAATACCGATTCAGAGATTAGAATCAACAAATTACCATTCCTCTGTAAAGGTCTGTGAACTTTTATTTTTCTAACTATGGCAACTGCTGGCTTTTATAAATCCCACATAGCAGTGCACTATCAGATTCTTAATCATATTTACTCAAAATAAATTCATGAAAAGGAGAAAAAAAAATAGATTAGACAAAAAATTATAATCCTTATTGAAAATAACATTAAACTACTACAAATCTTCAAGAGAGCATCAATTTCAGTATGGCAATGAAGCAGCAGAGGCTTGAACAAGAATATTACACCATTCTTCAATACGAATTGTCTCCAATTATTTTGTGAATGTCAGAGCAGGAAAATGGTGCATCATAAGGTCAGCTAGATTCCAAGAGGGTCTTGTTTTAAATAGCTGTTATCCCACTATTTTGTTTAATATACTAATAAAGTGCTGTTTACTATATAATAAAATTGCCAGCAATTCTTACAGTTAGAATCAAGTGCTGAGGGTGTGTGTCTCCTCACCTGACCATATCACATTCCCTGCTTACTACTTGGTAGTGAAGAATGGCTTGTGTCTAGCTACTCTACCAAAGTTATTCCAGATGATTTAGCTTTTGTAGTATGTTGCTGCCATCAAACAACGAATTGTGGGCATATTTTGGTATAAAAGTTTTTGTTTCAGGTATTAAAAATAGATAGGAAGTCCAATCTATCATTGAATTCATCCCTTATCACCGAGTGACAAGTGGTGAATCAAATGATAAATTTGTCATCATATTTAGCTTTAGTGTCTTAAATAAGCCTGCCTGCTGACTAACTTAGAAGAATAACTTAGTAGTACCAATAATACGTGGTCTTTAAATCCAATATAAATATAGGTTCACTGAGATGAGTAAAAGACAACTAAAAACAGACTGTTTTGTTTGTTTTGGATATTCACATAGTTACACAAGGGCTGGCATTCACTAATTCTGAACTGATAGACTAGAAGTAAGTCAGATAGTCAACGGCACCCAAAGCCAACAGCTATTCTGATCAAGTAGTAAGATTTGGACATCACTGTTAAAAGCACCAATAAAGAGCACGATTTTGTGGCAACAGTACATGGACCCTCAAATTCAAAATCCAGCATATTAATCACTAGACCACACTCAGTCCATAAATTATCAATAAGTTTAGATTCATAATGTAATCAAATGTGTAATGGTCCTGATTATATACACAATGGTCATCCTGCCACATTGCCTTAGATGGTTGTTCTTAAGCATCACTAATCTGTGTCCTCTTGACTACACTGAGCAGGCTTTTACTTCCACCCTATTTCAAAGTTTCTTAAATTCTTTCTAGCTAGCCCTTATATAAAGGAAAACATAATATGACAATGATAAAAAGCATGTAGCACCTAGTCTGATAGCACTACTTCTAAGGTTTTTGTGGATATGGTATAATAAAAATGGAATTATTTAAGAATTTACTTTCATTGAGAAAACAATAAAGGTAGTTTTCAAGATAAAATATATGCACTATGTATTTGAATTAATAGGCAATTTTTTTAAAATTTACCTCTGCATGTTCACCCTACTTTCCAGATTTGAAATGTTTTGAACTTAGGTCTACTGCAGCCTCTTAAATTGTAAATAAATCAACTGATCTAAATTTATTATAACTTTAGTAATGAAGAACAGTTACAACTACATTCTAACTTTTACATTTTGTAAATTGAAACTCAACTTACCACACAATTTATTGATTTCCAATAATTTCTTTCATTTTTTCACACTATGCATAATTAAGGTAAAATTCTATGTTTAAAAATAATTTCCATTAATAGCTTTAAAAGAAAACTCGTTAATTTTTCATGTTTTGTTACAACTAGTCAATTCTCCATAACATTTGCATTATGGTTGTGCTTTTTTTTTTATTGCATCATTGATTCAATCATTATATAATTGTGTATTAAGAATAATTCAATTAATAAAGAAATGAAAAACAAGGAATAGCCATTTGAAATAAAACATTTTAACATGTTCAAACTATTAAACGAAATATATCATCCTAAACCTAATAAATAAGACAGATTCATTATGTGGTGACTAAGCTGTTTTTATAAGTACTTTCAACTTTTAAAATTACAACATTGAAAGTAAAAATTCTAACATTTTGTGACATAAACTTCATGCAGGAAATCATTTTTCACAAATTAAAAAAGGGGAATACAATAAAAACTTTGTTCTCCAACCACTTTGCATCCAGAAAGTTCTTGTAACTGGAAATTTCAATACCTTCAAATAAATACTCATTGTGGGAACCGGCATTAATCCCTAATGTTTTGAAAGACACTTGAAACTTGTTTAAGTGACTTGTGAGATCTGCAAAACCTGAACATTACAATATTTTAAAATACTGTACTTAAAAATATTTTTATACTATTTAAAGTTTCTTACAAAATTCTTTATTGTTTACAACTTATTTTTATAGATGATGTAGAAATACTGTACTTTAGAACATTAACAAGGTGCCAAAATGTTTCCTGTAAAATTTCATAACCAGAATTTTCATCCATCTGATGTTGGATAATAAAGTTTTTACTGTACTAACTTACATTACAACATGTTCTAAAATATCTAACATGTATCAATACATGAAATGAAAACAATCTAAAATCAGGAAAAAATTTATTAATTACTAGTTCTTTCACATTTTTAAACTGTTGACAAGGAAACTAAATTATAATAATAATAAAAAAAAGTAATAAATCAAATGATAAAACACAAAATTCTACACCAACTGTGCTTTGAACTACTGGACCAAGGAACTTAACACCAGATTATTATGTTACTTTACACTGCATGTAAATCTTACTACAACATTAACAAAACCAACTAATTCTTTCCTCAACCACATAATGCAACTGGACATATTGATCATTATAGGAAACTTGTTATTTTTAGTGTAAGCCACCTGTGTATGATACCATATTGAATATAACATCAATACTACGGAAATAATAAAGGCATCTTTAATTATATCAAAGATTTATTGCAAGCATGAAATAACTACTATAATGCAACCAAATTGGTGATATAACATGTACTTATATCATGCAGAAGGTACAACACAAATACTGCAAATAAAAGTTGTAACATTTGCCCTGAAAATTAGGTAGAGATTAACACATATAATATTGCACCAATACATACAGTTATTGGAGATTTAATACTTGTGCTCCAACAATGCTGGATATAATACCAGCCCTCTAACAAACTAAAGTTAAACCAAATGTCCTGAAAATTATATTACTAATGTAATCAAATTACACTACAATCACACTGATGTTAACACATGCTCTGAAAATACACTACACATCAATCATGTAGTAGTCTACCAAAAAAAGATAAATTCATATATATAAAAAAACACTGGGATAAATATATATAACAGAATGTAACTAACAAATACAAAACATGTCCCAACTAAAATCCTAAAATCAAGTTGTTGAGAGGTCTTGAACAATAAAATATTATTGTAATATAATGAGCTTTTAGGAATCATGGAGACAGTTAAGAAAAACATCAAAAGTTTTCTATCAGGACCAAAATAATAAACTTCCTTAGCAGTCCAGATGAAATGCCATACACTTTATATAGAATGGCATACAACCTCTATAAAATAACATACCTTTCATACAGTTTCTGAACCTGAAGCATGTCAGAGGTTAATTACCATGATTTCGATATAAATTCCTCTGTACACACATACCAGGTATACACTGATATTCACTTCTGAACAGAATGACAAATATATCTTATTTAATATACCCTTTAAAAAAGATTGTGAGACTTAAAACCAGCATATATTTTAAACAAATTAAGTCTAAAAATTAGCATTTTGAGATATTTGTTTCAAGTGAAATGTTTCACAAATTCACATACTTGTAATCAAATATGTGGCATGCAGTGTAAGATCCTTTTCCTTCTGACCTTATATTCAAAAGACAACTAAACATGAATTTAAAAAATTAAAAGTACATATTGTAAATATTACCAAATAAAAATTTGTATTTAGTCATTTAAACAATGTGCTATATTGTTTAAATTACACCTTGATTATAAGTAAAATACTAAATTATATTAAAGGATTTGTTTACAAATGGTAACTGTTGTTCTAGTTACTTCCAACTGATATCCAGAGGATTCAACAGAGAGACTTTTAGAACTTCAATCTCCAGAACCTATTGTAATAAAATTAAAGATTATATAGTGTGCAATCAGTGAAGACATGTTAACTTTATGATGCTAACAACATGATACAAAAGTCTTACAGTGCACCTATAGATGAGCTTTAAATGATATTGCATGATAAAAAAGCCTCAAACATAGGCACAAGGAACAATGATGAAAATATTACATCAAGAAATAATAATTTAAAACAGCCAGGTGAAAGAAAATAAGAATCGTAATAATTAGCTTTAAATTTATAAACATAAATTTAACATTTATACTTTGGAGAGAATCATTTAGAAATATATCAACACCTGTTTTACAACATTATATAAGTTAAGAAGTTTCAGAAATCTGAGTTACTTTAACATATCTGGAAAGCTTGTTCTTTCAAAGTTGCACGTCCAACTGTAGGATGCTTAAAGTGAACTTTACTAGCTACACTTTAGTATGCTTATGTCATTGAAGTTGTACCTTTATCAGTTATGCTTCTGCTGGATTTTCTTATCAGTGAAACTAGTGCATGCTTATAGCATTAGTTTTGCTTTATCAGTTAAACTGTTATATATTTATTTCATTGGATTTTTGCTGTAACAGTTACTGTTGCATGTTTACACCACTGAAATTTTAATTAATAGGTTACATTTGCTACTGTCCTGAAGTTTTACATGTTTAACCAATGGCTTTTCATGTTATAAACATATTTTATTCATTTGTACACTGGTATATGTTTTTAATAGCTATAAAAAATTCATCCAATACGATATACTGTATCACAACTGGAAAACAAATCCTATGAAACAAAACTTTGATCACCTGTAATTAAACTGGCATTACAGGTAACTGTAGTTTAAGGTTGTGTTAAAGAGCAACAGAGCTAAATCAAAGAGTTTTAGTACACAATTTAAAATTTTTCTGGGATACACAAATAAACACTGAATTGTAAAAATAAACATTATAAGAAACTAGCAAATTTCAAAGATCTTCTGTTAATTAAAATAATAAGTTTAATTTTTTTTTTTTAATGTAGTGCTTCTAGCAACAAAAACACTTTTCACATTCTCACCTTTGTGATATCCAAGTACTGGAAATGTACTGCAACCCCATTAACATGAACAGATGTTGGTCTAAAACTAACACCAAACACTCTGACACGTCTAAGTGGCATGGCTGTTTCATAACCACTGCGTCGAAACTGACTAGTCACTCTATTCTGCATACAAGATCAGAGAGATGAAAAAACTTACAAACCTTTTTATTTTACATTTCTCTGTTAATGCACAGTATACAGGTATTCTCTCTCTCTATCTATATATATATAATGATAATATAAACTGATTTTTAAAGTTGTTTTGCTATATTCATGGATCTGCTACACACATTCTTTTTTGTCAAAGCAAACACACTTCTGATGTTTTTAGGATCAAACTGCTGCTTCATTTGACTAATCACATCTGTAACTTACTTGCTATAAGCTATTTGTTAATGATAATGATGTCAAACCACTTCCCTCATAACATCTCTTAACCAAACAGTGTCATTGATTGTCACATTCATACCAATACCTTTAAATGGGCTATTCACTGTTTTATAAGAAAATATGACGATATTGTTCAGAAAGTGTCTACTGAGAGTGAGAAACCAGATGTAATAGTACAAACCCATATTTTTTGACAAAGATTATACTTTCCTGTAACTCGAGAATGACAGAAGGGATTTGACCTATTTACAGAAAGTTAAAAAAATCATGAAAATAATTCAGTAAATCTCTTAAAAACTAATATGGATGGAGATTGAATATCTTCATCAAAAGTTTCCTCACTTTTCACAAGTGTATAAGAAGAAACATTGCCCAACATAGATGGAACTTGAAAATTAATATCACATGTTCAAAATCAAGAGAACACTGCAAAGATGATTTATTGCCAACTTCAGATAAAATGACTGAATGATGTATGCCATATTTAAAAATACAGTTTATTAGTGCAAAGAACTTGCACTTGTTGAGTTTAACTCTAGTTCTGACAGTTTACCCTTTGATTTATTGCCAACTTTAGATAAAATGACTGAATGATGTATGCCATATTTAAAAATACAGTTTATTAGTGTAAAGAACTTACACTTGTTGAGCTTAACTCTAGTTCTGACAGTTTACCCTTTGTGAACTTGATTACAGGCATGTGTTGATGAATTATGTTTTATCACATTCATTTCCTGGTTAGAACTCTTGCAAATCAACTGCATACAGCCTTTAAAAGTACATCAATTACTTCACTGAACATCAATGCAACAGTTACATGCAAAAAACAAAATATACAATTATATTTTTTACCTATCTGCCTACCCTTTCTTTGTTTCACACGTTATCAGAAACAGATATTTTGTGCCTTTGGTAAAAACAAATCATGCAAACAAGGAAGTAACAGCAACAATCCAAAGTACTTATGAGGGAAATTAAGAACATATAAAAATATGTCAACCACACTACATCTGCTACATCCAGTGATGATGAGGCCTGGCCTTTCACTAGTATGTGTGTGTCAGGCCTGGCCTTTTGCTAGTATGTGTGTGTGTAACAATAATAGTTCATCATAAACTGTGTGGGAAAAAAAGACAATTGAGCAATCTGAGAAGCTATTAACAGTGGCTGATCAGTGCGAAACTAGTGACACAAACACAACAACAACAAGGATAAGAATATAGATGAAAAAATAACAGATATAAATATCAATATGGAAAACTGTAAGACTAAATAAAGTTTGTCATAGTTTGCTTCCTTTATAAAGGGGGTCATAAAGACAATGCTAACAGCAAGGGTACACAACTGATGAAACAAAACATTCTAATTTTTATAAGTAAGAACAATACATGTAATTAGCTATATTTATTAGTGTGTTTATTTTTGGTTATAATCTACTTGGTAAGGAGATAATATTAATTACAAGATATACTGTGTTAATTTGTTGTGTAACACAATAAAAATATTCAATGGAATAATGAGCTTTTTAGACAGATCAGATAAATGTGAATCCCTGTATAAGAAAAAGAAAAATACACAGTCAATGTTTACATGTCAATGTGACGAAACAGTTGTTCACAGTATGTAATATAATTCACTTGTTTCAACAGAAATAAATATTCAAAGGGACACCCACATTAAGAATCACATGTAAATGTATTGTGTAAAGGACAAGAGGATTATTGGACATTCACGGTTAAGGTTGCATTTGCATTTAGACAGTGCTGCACACTAAGTTCTTCCTAAACAAGATTGGTTTATTTGCATTTAGACAGTGCTGCACACTAAGTTCTTCCTAAACAAGATTGGTTTGGCAGATTTTTTCATTGTTCATTACACAAGTTTATCAAAAAACAAAACAAAAAGTAATTCAATGGTGCATCATTTCTGTTCCAATCAATATTTCTTCATCTAATTACATGATCCAAGTTTATGCTTTCTTTAATTTCCTATCAGCATTAAGGGTTCTTACCTACTTCAAAAATGTTAACAATACTTTGATCAGTAATATTAAATATAGAACTGAATTTTACCTTTTCAGCTTCAAATACAATCAGGTTATACTCTCCTCTGGAATATGTATCTAAAAAAAAATTTAGAAAATGAGACAGAGAAAAATAACTGTACCAGGTTATTTACAATATAAAGCACAGTGTGTGTGTGTCCATGAAAAAAATACGTGGACATATATCTATTATTTCATATCCATTCCTTGTATGTTTCCACATTTCTTTATCAATCAGCACCAAACTTGTCACAGTAATATAGGGCAACATGAGGAAGGTCTTGGGAGTGTGTGTGTGTGTGTGGGGAGGAACATCTAATTTCGTATTGACAGAGTTCTTGAAAATAGTACGTGTTTCTTTTCAGTATTGGTACCTTTATGCATTTTATTGCACTTTTAATGTTTATTAAAGAAACACAATTTCCCGTCCTTTATTACAAACAAGCTTTTATTTCACCCGTCCAACGGATGGGTAATCCAGCTAGTTATTCATAAAATGTTGAAATCATTTCTAAATGGTTTACATTTTCCTTTAGTAATATTTTAAAATACATCAAACAACTATATAAAAATATTTAACATAAACCATAATCTGTATAATTCATCTCAATATTAGCTTGTTTAACTATCAAATATCTCTATTCCCATTTGATTTAATGAAAAATTATTAACAGAAATTAACCACTGTGTTTAATACTATACTGAAACATTATATCTTAGATCAATAGAGAAAAAAAAAAGTTGCTACATATTTTTGTTATTATAGTCTATTAGTAGTCTGTAAACATAGTAGACTGACTATTACAAAAAATATGAACTTTTTTTTGCTTTGTTAATAATTTTAGTTATTTTATTGAAAAGCAGGTCAAGTAACCATAGTTAACCATTTTCTAGTTGATAAATAGTAAAGTCAAAAAAACTCTGCAACATTATGTTTTAATTTAACAAAAACTAAGACAATATGTTCCAAAAAAATTATGATGGATTTTACTACCTCTAACAGAATGTAAAGTCCGTGTCCTAAATACTGCTTACAGAATGTAAAGCCCATGTCCTAAATACTGCTTACAGAATGCAGAAGTTCATGACCTAAATACTGCTTACAGAATGCAGAAGTTCATGGCCTAAATACTACTAACTGAATGTAGAAGTCTGTATCCTAAATACTGCTAATAGAACGTAGAAGTATTTGTCAGAAATATTGCTGTAATATTGCTAACAGAACATAGAAATCCATGCCCTAAATACTGCAAATTAAAATTTTGCAAATCGAATTTCCTGACGTTAAAGCAGCTGTGAGTTAGGTTTAATTTTCCCATTTCTCTGTCTACAGGTGTGAACTTAATGCTATGTTTGCTTCATTAATTTTCATATAATTTAATCTTGCTTGTTCACAACCTAAGAAGCAAATGAAAAGTGAATATTTAATCTTCATATTTTCTAAGCCATTTATGTAGTTAAATTTTTTTTCTTAGATTTATATACTATTCTTAATTTAGAATCTAAAAGGTTGGTCTTAACTTTACTCCTTAAGTCTTTTCGTTTCTTTTTCTTGATTATGTTTTGTGAACTTGTCTTTTCATTTAACAAGAAAACAATGGTTATAACAAACATCCAAAGAAGTATAAAGGTAAATTAACAAATATAATCAAGAAATAGAAATGAAAAGAGAAGACTTTCAAGAGTAAGATTAGACCAATCTTTTAAATTAAGATGGCCTACTCCAGTTTCCAAAAAATATATACCAACATGACTCTTATATTGGGTTTTCAGTGTATACCCAGCTATTATAATTATAATTGCAAAAGAAATGCTATATAAAAAATATATTGTTATTGATAGATCCTACCCAGTTAGGTTAACCTTAGAGTAATTATATTAAGATTGTACTCAGATTTGCTCTACTTTAATGTAGTTGAGATTAGAAACTACACTGAACCAAGTGAGAAGCTAAATTATGACTACATAATTTATTGTGATAAATGTTCTGATCAAGTGGAAAGCTAGACAGTTATTACTAAACTAAAAAAATATATATATGATGCCAGTTAAAAAAAACCTATACTATAACTACTCTGTTACCAATTTTCTGAACTAAACAAGAAGCAAAGCTACAAGAAGTCAATGTGAAGTAAATGTACATAATATTTGTCTTAGTTTAATTTAGAAGTGAGGTAAGATTATCCAATTGGAAGGAACTGTTGTGGGACACATACCCTAAACCAGAACCATTTGCCTTCAGTATATTCCTGTTAATGACCAGTAATCTTGTACTCACTGAGTGAACAGCTGCAACTGGGAAATTTAAAGATCTAAGCACAAAAAAAAACAAACTATCCTATGAATTGAAAGACAATGCCTGAAATTATCAACTCTAATGTTGAGTTTGAGAAAATAAAACTAGCCTAGATATAGTTCTAGTGAATTATTAATTATAATGACCAGGGTAAATAAAAACAGAAAATGACACACACAATATAAAACCGTAGAAAAATGTGTTTAAACAGCTGATATGAGCCCCCATCAGGAATTCTGAGAATAAACATTCAAACTGTGATACGTTATTTTCTTCAACAATTTTTCAGTTTCATTTCCAATAAAACTTTGGGCTTTCTTGTTCTGATATTGTTAGATTAGAATGATTCTTAATTTGAAGGCTACAACATACATAAATCACCACTCAAAGAGGTATTTCAATTAAAATAACTTTAAACTTACCTAAGCTATCACCGTCATCCCAGTACAACTCCCCACATGCACGACCATTTTTGTCTAAAGCCACCAGTAAATGGAACGGATTCTTGCGGCTAAACAAGTTTTATGAAAAATCTTTAAGAAATATTTCTTAATTTAGAATAAAGGTGAACTTAGACATCTGGACTGTTAAGTTACATAAATAGAATAATTTTAACAATCCGAAATACCTTTTTTTTTTACAAGAAATAAATAAAATTAAATTTACAGAAATCAAAATACTAGAGTAAAAATATAACCGAGATTAATTTTTTCTTAAAAGTCTAAAAATATATATGTACAAAATTATTAAATAATAATAAACAACTAACCACAAATTATATACTTTACCACAATAAAGCTAAATTCACATTCATATCCTTGTGTAAGTGACAACTAAACTAACAGTTCAGTACATACTTGAGATACAAGTAGGAATTTACTGTAATGGTATCAAAGCCAGATTTTTCAAAGCAATTATGCATGCTAAAGGCTGGGGAATAATGCAAGAAAATTATAAAAAATTAGTTTTACTTGAATTAACAGATATTTGTAAACAAAAGTTCAATTTCTGTCTCATGTTTATATTTCTTTGTGATTATGTACAAGTAAAGAAAAACTTTAAAAAAAAGGAAGTAAATGTAGGAATGGCTAATATTAATCCTTCATAAACAATGCAAACAAGATAGTAGGGATGGCATTTGTTTCATTCCTACATAATGAGCGGTGTTTCTTAGTGGAAATATTCTAACTATGCATGCTTATGCAGGAGGTTCTCAGTCAGAAAGCGTAAAGGCCGTACATACAAACAAGCAGAATAATAGTATAGATACTTATATGTATTTCTGAGTGAAATTACCTAGCTGTAGTAGTGTCATTAGGTTCTTGTGAAGGGATAATGACACCACCACGAACCGCTAAATTAATCTTGTCCATAGGAGCATCAAGTGTGAAGTTCTGTCCAGTACTTAGGCGAGAAGTTCCTGTATAGAAATCATACCATGTGTCAGCTGGGAAGTAGGCAGTTACTGTACTCACTTTCTGTAAAAACCAAAATTGAATAAATCAGTTGACATCAAAGTTTTTCTAATGTTGTTTCACATTACATAAATATATTTTCGTGGTTCAAGTAAATCATATTTCTCATGAAAGAAACAACACTTGGCTAAAATACAGTCTACTATAATTATTTTGCTGAATTTCAAAGTTTCAAAGCCATAACCAGGTATTGTTGCCAATATAAAATTGTACTAAACATAATCTCATATTTTTGCTGACGGAACAACATGATCTCGTATTTGTCATGACATAATATGTACTAAACCACAATCTTGTATCGTTACTTACAAAACAATATACTGAAGCATGGTCTTGTTTTATTAATGACATAACAATATGTACTAAACCACGATCTTGTATTGTTACTAACAAAACAATAATACTGAACCATGGTCTTGTTTTATTAATGTCATAACAATATGTACTAAACCACAATCTTGTACCGTTACTAACAAAACAATAATACAGAACCATGGTCTTGTTTTATTAATGTCATAACAATATGTACTAAACCACAATCTTGTATCATTACTAACAAAACATAATTCTGAACCATGGTCTTGTTTTATTAATGACATAACAATATGTACTAACCACG